ATAGATCTTGAATGTTGCCAAGCGACACAGTAAATGTTGCTTGACATAGAGAGCACTTGTCTCTCACTGGCAATTACATGCTCCAGGCTGAATACACATTTGTCACTTTTGCTCATATCTCATTGACCAGAATTAATCATTGGAGGGCTAGCCCGTGGCTCACTTGGGAGAGTGTGGTGCTGATAACACCAAGTCAAGGGTTAAGATCCCCTTACGGTTTAAAAAAAAAAAAAAAAATTATATGGCTTCATATCTCATTGGCCAGAATTAATCACGTTCCCACCGAACCGTGATGGGGTCAATTGCTGGATAAGTGGGGAGCAGTGTGGTGCTGATAACACCAAGTCAAGGGTTAAGATCCCCTTACGGTTTAAAAAAAAAAAAAAAAATTATATGGCTTCATATCTCATTGGCCAGAATTAATCACGTTCCCACCGAACCGTGATGGGGTCAATTGCTGGATAAGTGGGGAGCAGTGTGGTGCTGATAACACCAAGTCAAGGGTTAAGATCCCCTTACGGTTTAAAAAAAAAAAAAAAAATTATATGGCTTCATATCTCATTGGCCAGAATTAATCACGTTCCCACCGAACCGTGATGGGGTCAATTGCTGGATAAGTGGGGAGCAGTGTGGTGCTGATAACACCAAGTCAAGGGTTAAGATCCCCTTACGGTTTAAAAAAAAAAAAAAAAATTATATGGCTTCATATCTCATTGGCCAGAATTAATCACGTTCCCACCGAACCGTGATGGGGTCAATTGCTGGATAAGTGGGGAGCAGTGTGGTGCTGATAACACCAAGTCAAGGGTTAAGATCCCCTTACGGTTTAAAAAAAAAAAAAAAAATTATATGGCTTCATATCTCATTGGCCAGAATTAATCACGTTCCCACCGAACCGTGATGGGGTCAATTGCTGGATAAGTGGGGAGCTAGAAATACTCATATATGGCACATAGCACTAGACACCACCTTAACACTTTAAACATTTTATTTTAACCAAAAACATTTAAATAGACATCTGTATTTTCTCTCTATGTAGAACCAAGACCTTTTCTTTCATCTTCAATTTTTTTTTTTTGGTGGCTGGCTGACATGGGGATCAGAACCCGTGACCTTGGTGTTACAAGGCTCTGCTCTAACCGACTGAGCTAACCGGCCAGCCCCAAGACCTTTTCTTTCAATATCGGTCTCCCAGTTTGCATAAAATATCATATTCTTGTATTAACTGCACCCATAAACCACAATAAGTCATCTCATTTTTTTTAAAGTGCTTGTCCCCCAGTGGCTTGAGAACCTAAAGATGTTTATGAAGCAAACCAAGGGCTGAGTCTTCCTAGGTTTTTATAAGCTTTTCCATTCAATCATTTACAGTTGCTTTGTGTGAACCTAATTTGGCAGCATTGTTTCTTTATTAGCAACTCACCTTTATTCTTTTCAATGCAAGCAACTGATTGCATATAAACAACTCTCTTGCATTAGTATTTCTTTAGTTTTGTAGCAGATTAAGTCAATAATTTAGGAACAGCTGGCATAGGATCCCCATACTGGCCAGCCACCAAAAAAACAAAAAACAACTGGTATAAACAGGTTCGGGAACAAACAGCTACCTCTCAGGAAGTACTCAGCCTGACAGATGGGAACAGAACTGCTTAGTCCTAACAGTAGCCTGCTAGTCTGGACAGTGGGTTTTACAGATGAAATGGAGAGTGTCTTTCAAACTGGCAAACTGGGTCCATGAGATGGTTTTAGAAAAATATAGTATTACTAAAGAATTTTAGCCTACATTTTCATTTCACATTCTTTTTTTTTTTTTGTCCTTTTTGAGACCGGCTGCACCGCGCTCAGCCAGTGAGCATTGTGAGCACACCGGTCATCCCTATATAGGATCCGAACCTGCGGTGGGAGCACTGCTACGCTCCCAGCATCGCACTATCCCGAGTGCGCCACGGGCTCGGCCCTCATTTCACATTCTGACTTGAGTTTCCATTTTTCTCACCCTGAAGGGTATGTATCCTGGTATATGTCTTTCCACACTTATACAATCCTGAGCCTTCATTCCCATACATGTGTCCTGATACGGTCTGAAGGATGGGAAGGCATTAACTAGGGAGAGAGCAGGAAGGATGGACAACAGGTAGTCTGGAGAGGGCAGCAGGGGCCAAGGCAAGGAGTTTTGATTTAATTCTGAGGGTACTGGGAAGCCATTGGAAAGTCTTGATTAATGGAGTGAGTCAAGGTGGCAAGAGTTAAGAGGTATCATCCAGGCAAGAGAACTTGATGATGGCTTAGACCAATGAGAATGGGGAGAAGCGAGGATTTGGGGAGATTAAGGAGGCTTTCATCTGTTTTTTTTTTTTTTTTCCATCCTTCCTGCAGTCAGCAGTGGGGTGTCCTGACATGGGTGATTGGCAGGGCTCTGGAGGTACCTGTTGATATCTGACTTGCAGTCTGTGTCCAGGAAGCACTAACTCCCCATTTGGCCACAATCCAGGTCAGATTTGGGGTTCAAGGCTGGGCTCTAGTCAGCCCTGGGGCCCCTCTTTCCACTTCACTGGACACTTCTCTGTCTTTGCTGGTTGCTCCTTATGGCCACGATTGCTAAAGGGATGGCGTGTCCTAGTTTAGATCTAGAACATGCTCTTTGTGATCTCATTCAGTCTCATTGATTCAAACACTGATGTCTCCTGAGTTTCCCTCTCCAGACTCCTATCTACATTGTTTAGGTAACATCCCAAACAGAAGTAAAGATTTCCTTCCAACCTGCTCTTCCTACAGTCTTCTCCATTTCAGTAAGTGGCACCTCTGTAAAGGCAAAAACCTTGGCACCCCTCTCTCTACACAAGTTCTTTGGGCTCCAACTTGAAAGTAAGTTGTGAAACTGACCACCTCCACCACCTCCACTGCGGCCATCCTGCCCACAATCCATCCCATTTGTGCCTCTTGCCTGGACTATTGCCACAGGCTTCTCTCTGTTCTCCTGCTTCCACTCGTCCCTGACAGTCTTATTTTCAACCCAGAAGCAGGTGGAATCCTTAAAAAAAAAAGATTTAAGGTTAGCTCAGTTGGTTAGAGCGTGGTGCTGTTAACACCAAGGGCCAGGGTTCAATCCCTATACTGGCCAGCGCCACAAAAACAAAAGGTTTAAATCTTTCCAAAGTTATTTTTCAATAGGTAACACTTGCATATGGTAAGAATCCCAAATAGCCTAAAAGAGTAAACTGGGTCTCGTTTCCTTCCCTGTGTTCCCCACTCCCTCCCCTCCTTCTCTCCTTAGAGGTGACTGTGGATGCCAGCTTCTTTTGTAGACTTCTAGAGATATTGTGTGATTTCTATGCATTCTGTGAATGATTTGTTTACAATGTAAATGAGACTGTCCTCCTTTGCCAAAAACTTTCTGGTGGTCCCCAGTGAAGAGAGACTGAAATTTTCTTTTTATTTTTTTCCTCAGTTTTTAGAGACTGAAATTTAAATTCCTGCCTGTAGCACCTGGCCCCTTCCCACTTCTCAGGGCTCTCTTCTACTCCATGCCAGCAACAGTGGCCTCCCTTCTTTTCCTTCCCCTTTCATGATTTGTGTCCTTGCGGTTCCCTAATTTTAGCACACTCTTCCAGCCTACCTGGAATTGCAGGCAGCACAAAGGTCATTTTCCTAACTTCCCCTGCTAAATTTATCTCCTCATGGTCACCGTCCCATCGCCCCATGCATCTGTTCTAGTTAACACTTAACACGACTTGTGATTATTTGTTTTCCCCAGTGGACCATGGGCTCTGTGAGAGACCTGGTCTAATTTGGTCATCGCCCAGCATAGAACCAGGCAAAGTACTAAGAATAGATTTATTTATTTTTTTTTTAAAGAAAGAAAAGCTGAAATTTGATTAGTTACTGTGGCAAGCATCGATCCTAACACTTTATTAACTCATTTAATCCTCATAACCACTCTAAGGTTAGATATTATCCACATTAAAAAAAGAGGGACGGCCCGTGGCTCACTCGGGAGAGTGTGGTGCTGATAACACCAAGGCCCCGGGTTCAGATCCCATATAGGGATGGCGGGTTGGCTCACTGGGTGAGCGTGGTGCTGACAACACCAAGTCAAGGGTTAAGATCCCCTTACCGGTCATCTTTAAAAAAGAAAAAAGGTAAGAAATGTTACACAACGACTAGTGACTACGCAGTCATTTAATTTTAGTTGAGCGAATGACTGAATTAACGAATTGCCGGGCAGACTTGAGTGGCACGAAGTTTGGAGGAGATGCTGGGGTGGCGGGCAGAGCCTGGGCGCAGACCAAGGGGCAGGCAGGTCGGACCAAAGCGGTCTCTCGGGGCCGCTGGCTCCGCCCAGGCCGCGGGGGCCATTGGGAATGTGACTTCCTCCTCCCCCCAGCCACGTCACCGCCTACAAACCTTAGCGCTCCCCTAGCGTCTGGTGCGATCTGTAGCCCAGGCCCCTTGGCAGGTTACCGCGCCCCCAGATCTGTTATTCCGTCCTTCCCTCTCTCCCGAGGTTTTCTGGAAGAGTCTCCCGGCTCCGCCGCCTCCGGCTCTCCGTAAGCTCCGACCCCAGCACGGAGCCAGCTTGTTCTGGCTTTTTCACGTAGGCCCCCGCGCCCCCGCTTTGGTACGACCTCTCGCTCCCGCCACGCCCCCCTGAAGTCGCCTCCCGCAGTCTCCACAGCTCCTCCCCACCTCGCGCGGGCGGCCCCCGGCGTCCTCCCATTTGCCGGCTCGCGCGCACACACCCTCCCCTTCTCCGAGGGCGCCCCCAGTCCTGTTTGGTACACTCCCGCCACGCCCCCTCGCGGACGCTGCTGGGACGCGCCGGCTCCCCCTCTCGCCGCAGTGGTTTAGCCGCGGCGACCCCTCTCTGGCGGCGCGTCCCCCGCGCTTGGTACGGCTCGGCCCGTCTCCCCCGAAGCCGCGCACCCGCGCCCCTCATTCGGTGGAGCCCGCAGCCCCCTGTGTGGCCCCCGGCAGCCCCCAGTCCGCTCGGCCCACGCCCGCCATGGTCCGTCCGCGCCGCGCCCCGCACCGCTCTGGCGTTGGGGGCACCCTCGGGGGTCGCGGCAGCCCCCCACGACCTCTCGTGGTGCGTGCTGTCCGCTCGCGATCCTGGCCAGCCAGCCCCCGAGGCCTGCAGCCGCCGCGGATTCGGGCCCGCTCGGCCCCTCCCATGGTGAGCCCCCCGCCCTTTTTCCAGAGCCTTCCACGGCTCCGCCCCCGCCGGCCCCTCCTCTGGGCCCACGCCTTTGTCTGCGACCCCTTCCACTTTGGGGTCTCCTGTGGTGCGAAAGGTGGTCCTGCCTGGGGCCGGGTTCCCCCATGGAGCCTCCGGTGGTACGCGCCGGGCTCTTCCCTTTGTTACGCGTTTGGGCCGGGGTGAGGTACGGGGGCGGGACGGGCTCAAATTACTGCTGACTCCGCGGCCCGATTTAAACGCAGTGTGGGGGGCTGGCTGGCGGGCCGAAGGCTGGCGCGCGCGCTAGTTTTTCCAATTAGAAAGTTGATCTCTCTTGTCAGGAAATCTGAAAATGGGGGAGGGGGACGGCGGCGGGCGACGGGGGGCGTGTTTTGCACGCGCGCGCCCAGATGTTGCGCACCCGGGGGCGTTCTCCCGCAGGCCCGCACGGTGTCCATGGCGTGCGCACCAACGGTTTGCACCCTCGCCCAGATGTGGGATGCGTTTATGGATTACGATGAGCCCAGATCTTAACGTAAACGTTCAGCTTTGCAGTTACATTGGGCTGCACAAGCTTCCCCACACCTAAGGCACGCACATGCTTTTCAGAAATTCTAAAGGCTTACCTGGGTGATAAAAGTGCACGTCTCGATGTTTCACGCACAAACTATGCACTCGCTTGCCCGGATGTGAGATATCCCCTGCGTTTGTGCTCAAGCTCACCTTAAATACAGCGCCCGAACGTGTTCTGTACTCAAGGAGGCTTAAATAGGCTTCTTTGTGTCTTAAACATAAATACCCACACTCTGGTCACCTTTCCAGAACTTAAACATACCCCATCACGCTACTGCTTTCCCTCCTTCCTGGAGCATTCACATCTAGTTGTTCAAAAATGCTTCCTGGGTTCTTAAACTTACATCCTAAGACTTTAAAACTCCCTCACAGTACTAAGAGGGCATCCCTGTTCAGTAAACAACATATTAGATGCCAATTTGCACGCAGTTGCCCAGGTGTGAGATTTCCTTTAGGTTTATATTTAAGCCTAGTCCTTAAATGTGATCCTCCCACCTTGATGAGCTCATCTGCTATTGGCACAGGTATACCTGGGTTTCAGGTATGCATCCTGGTTTTTAAATTTATGGCTTCAGGTCCAAACCTTTCAAGTCCTACGTGGTCATCTTGCCCTCCCAGGCAAGCAGCTGTTAAAACGTAAGCTGGAGCTTACATTGAACCATTAAGTGGTTAAGATTATTGTTAACATAATCTTAAACCTATCTGAGTGGCAGTAAATGCATATGCGTGTGGACATCTATATAGTCCTAAAACACACATGCAGTCCAACTATTCCACGTTCGAGCACTCTGTTATGTGTTCCTGTGTGTTGCAAGTACACCCCCAGTTGTGGGCTTTAACTACATTTCCTCAGATGCAGGACATCCTAGGTGCGTGTGGTACCAACAGATCGGGGCTTCAACTCTGCTTCAGCATCTCAGACACTCCAGCTTTAAACACACTCCTACACCTGATACCAAGATGCTTTCTTGTTTTCTTTTTGATCTTGTACGATTGTCCCAATCCCAGAATCACTTGTCCAGGTGGAGAGCATGCCTTGTTTAGGGTTTCTTTTTTTTCTTTTTAAACCCCCACAAAATAAAATTTTTTCTGTTATTATTCTAGGACAAAAGATCTCCAGATGTTTCATGGGAAATTTGGAAAATACCCATTAGTAATAATATTGATAAAAAGTAACCACATTTTTTTTTCCTGCCTGGAGGCACCTTCTACTGAGATTTTCATTGGTTTCCTGCTGCCAGGGTGATTCCAAACCTTCCTTTTTTGCTTTTAGATGTTGTTGATTTAAAAACATCTGTGAGTAGAATTTGTAGCTCTGCTTGGCTTTATTGCTGGAATGTTCTCCTGGTGTTTTGCAAATGCTTTGGCATGCAAGACCCTTCCAAGTGTTATTACATCCCTCTTCCAAATGGTTCCGCACTTCTTCTCTGTCTTTCTCCTGGATGGCTCTGTTCCTCTGTGTGTTTCTTGTCACTTCCTCCTTGCCTCCCTGGGGTCAGCCTGAATGGCACAAGGCGAGGCCCACAACTTGCCAGGAAAGATTGGCACCAGCCACAGGGAAGAGTTTGAACTTTCTCTTGCGTGCAATGGGGAGCCTTAGAAGGGTTTTGAGCATGGGAGGGCCAGGGCAAACCAATGTGTGAGACAGACACAGCTTGTGGGGGCTGTGAGGAAACTCCCCCAGCGAGTTGGCTTCTGAGTTGGATCTTGATGAAATGATCAAGCTGCAGAAGATGAGTTGGTGGCACCTCCTATGGGGGCAGGGTGGCATTCCAGGCTGAAAGCACACCTTGAACAAAGGCTGCAGTGGGGGAACTGGCTGATGGCTTTTAGGAACCCATTGGGCCAGTGTTGAGGTGACCAGTGGTCTCTAGGATGGGAAGGGTTCTGGGGGGTGGCAGAAAAGGGACATGGGGGTCAGCCTCATGGGATCTTGATTGCTGGGGCCAGGGGTTTAGATGTGGCCCTGGGAATTCCTAGCAATGGATTTGGGTCTGAATATTGGGACATCCCCTCTGGGGTATGTGGAGACTGCCTGTCCTTGCAGTTCCTCCAGCCTCTGTCTCCCTACTCCTCTGCTGCAGGAAGGTGCCCGAGTCTTTGGGGCTCTGGGTCCCATCAGTCCCTCCTCGCCTGGTCTCACCCTTGGGGGTCTGGCTGTGAGCGAGCACCGGCTCAGCAACAAGCTACTAGCCTGGAGCGGTGTCCTCGAGTGGCAGGAGGTGAGCGAGTGGGTCTGTGCCAGGTCCCTTGTATACATACTGGGGCTGGGGGCTGGCCCCCAGGATCCCCTCTGTTCCTATGGGTGGGGTGGCAGGCCTGGGCATCGAGGCTGTGTCCGGTGACTCCCTGCTGCTCCTCAGAAACGCAGACCCTACTCGGACTCTAATGCGAAGCTGAAGCGGACCCTACCCTGCCAGGCCTACGTTAACCAGGGCGAGAACCTGTGAGTGCCTGGAGAACTGGGGTGGGCGGGTGGCTAGGGTGGCCCTCCCTGACTAGCTCCTTCCTGCAGGGAGACTGACCAGTGGCCACAGAAGCTGATCATGCAGCTGATCCCGCAGCAGCTGCTGGTGAGACCCACCCCAGCCCACCCCAGCCCGCTCCCAGAGCACCCTCATGCCCCAGTGGTGACCCAGCTGTACCCTTGTCACCCTCAGACCACACTGGGCCCTCTGTTCCGCAACTCCCAGCTGGCACAGTTCCACTTCACCAACAGAGACTGCGACTCGCTCAAGGGGCTCTGCCGCATCATGGGCAATGGTTTTGTGAGTTGGGCAGGGGGCCTGGGGCAGGTTTTGCGGGTGGTGAGGGCAGGGCAGGGCCCCTTGTGAACACTCTGGTGACAAAGCTCAGTGGGAGGCAGAACTCTTCCCAGACAACCCAAGGCAGGGGGCCAGGGCCCAGACTGTCTCCCCTGTGGATCTGGGGTAATTGTTCCCCCTCCGGGCATCTCAGTCCCTATGTGTAAATTATGATCTCAGGAATTCTTAGAGCAGGGAGTGAAGGAGCTCACCTAGTGAGAATTGGCCATCAGGGATGTGAGCAACAGAGGGAGCTGGGCTGGCCATGCTGGGGCCCAGGAGCCTCTTGGGCATACGGCACACGGCAGGGACCTGGTGAATGGGCATGGCCAGGGGAAGGGATCAGCTAGGAGGGAGTAGTTTATGTTGAGGCTCAGATTCCTCCTCTGTAAAATGGAGCTAACAGTAGGCCTTACTTCGTAGGGTCACCAGGAGGCTGAACTGAGTGAGTTTGTTTAAGGGGTTTGAAACAGAGATGATAGTGTGTAGTGAGGGTTCATTAAACATGAGCTGGTAGGATCATTAAAGGGCTCGGGATTCAGACACGAGGCGGGGCAGGAAGAAAGGGGCCTGGTGTGGAAGGTGGCAGGTGCTGGCGAGGGGGTGGAGCGAGTCATCTGTTCAGGATGCTCCAAGGATTTGGTTCTGGGCTCTGGGCTCATCACCAGCTCCTGTTACCCTTTAGGACCCAGCCGACCTCCTCCATGGGCTACAACGCCTCACGTCCAGGTGGCTCCCCTTTGAGGGAAAGGGGGGGGCCTGGACAGACCAGGGCTTGTGACCAGCGCGAGGTCTCTTGGATGACTGACCACCCTTCACTCGGCACTGTTTTTTTTTGGGGGGGGGGGGGGGGGG